TAGTCTTTAGTGTTGGGTTGTGTGCTAGGTTTTAACCAAGCCCAAGAGAATACATTTGAAGGCTGCCAAAAGAATTCTGAGGTTTCTTAAGGGAATGCAGGACCTGGTCCTCTTCTATCCCTTAGGAAATAATTTTGACTTGATTGGATATGTTGATTATGCTGGATATTTTGTAAATAGGAAGAGTACATTTGGAATGTCATATTTTTTGTGGTCATACTTGATCTCATGAGATACAAAGAAATAAAACTTTGTGGCTCTTTCTAGTGCTGAAGCTGAGTATGTGGTTGTTGCCTCTTGTTACACACAACTGCTTTGGATCAAGCAACAACTTGAAAATTTTGGTGTATTTACAAATTATGTGCCCTTACTATGTGATAACACAAGTTCTCTTAACATGGAAAAAAAATTCGGTGCAGCACAAGAGGACAAAGCACATTGATATGAGACATCACTTGTTGAGGGACAATATTGAAAAAGGTCTTATCTGTGTGAAGTTCTACAAGACAGAGGACCAGGTAGAAAATATATATACCAAAGAACTGAGCAGGGAACACTTTGAAAGAACCCGTCTAGAGTTGTGGTTGATTAAGCTCAATTGAGGACTTGGTCCCTCGATGATTGGCTATGTGAAGAAGGAAAGGTACAATGCTAAAAAGTGTTTTCTAGCGACATCTAACTCAAATCTATACTGTTACAGGTAAACATGCATGGCAGACTCAGGACAAAACAAATGGCAAATGACATTGCACATCTAGAAGTTTTTGCTCACATTTTCAAAAATCTATCAAGGAACTCAGCTCATGTGACTCAGGTAAGTTATTCCCAACTCTTTCAATTTCTTTTAATCCCAAACATTACAACCTCTCTGAACCGACTCGTTGCCACATTTCTTTCTCACACTCGCTTGTAATCGGTACCTCTCCTACTTTATAAACCTAGCATGTGTCTCTATTCTCACTCAAAACTCAAAAATTGTCATTCTCTATCTTCAAACTTTTCTCTCCTCTGTATCTTCCAAGACAAATATAACCATGTACCAACAAGAATCTCAATCACCCATAATGTCTGAAGAGAATACAACTTTGTCTCTTTCTAAAGTTATATCCCCATATTAATCTGAACCAAATGTTTCACCCACAAAAGCCGCAATTTCCACTGAAACTAGCCCTATTGTCACTCCTTCCAAACCTTCTGGTTCTAGTCCCCAACAAAGCCGGAAAAGCCAAACTCCCAAAAAATTTGTCTCATCCTCTTCTCCTACTATTCCTACTGACAAGCCCAACTCTGATCAAACTATGTCAGTGTCTCAATTTCTTCAAAATACAAAGGAAATCAAATAAGATAATGATGGTGTTGAGGTAACTAGTCGGACTTTTGCGACAGAAGAAGTGAGGTTGGAGGAACAAATGAGTTACGGTGCTATTGTGGAATCACATGCACCTGAGGAAGATGGAAATCTGGCTACTGAAAGATATACTCAAAATACTCCTACTAAAACAGGTAATTTACCATCTCTTCCTACTGATAAAGGATTAGAGTTTGAGGTAAATCTAAGTGAAAAAGAAAAGAGGAGATCGAATATTCTTAAAAGTGAGGCTGAGATTGTGGAAGGTTTTGTTGAGGCCATAAGGGCGAGTGGTAGTGGTGAAGGGACACGGGGGAACTACAAACTCAAGGGGAACTGCAAAGTCAGGGGTAACTATGGAACCAAGGGGAACATGTGATTATGAGTGAACCAGGGGAACATGTGACTATGAGTGAAATAGGGGAACCACCTGAGGGACCTCATCCCTCCACTCAGGGAGAGTTTGAGTCATCTAGACTCAGAACTGCTCCCACTTGGGATGAGACACCAGGTTTCAATAGGCCCAACTTGGGAGAATACTAAAACACCCCAGTTCATATCCCCCCATTCCTGTTCCTTTAAAAATTATATATCCTAAGATAAGACCTGGTTCTATCCAGTCATTCTCATGAAAGTGATGAAGTTGATTCTGATGACCAAGTTGTAATATGCTTTATAAATGTAAGGGGTGGTGCTAAGAAAAAGAATAATGTTGCTTACAAGCCCCCCCACTATAAGGCAGCAGAGGAAAGCTGAACATAATAGTGCTCTAAAGGAAAGCAAGGAGAAGAAGAAGAAGACAAGAAGGCTTGTAAAGAGTACGTTAGTTGATGATGAGGAGGTGCCACCGGCAGATGTGGTGGACGTTGATGATGAGGAGGCTGTGAAGGAAGCACCTCCTCTTGTTAGAAAGAACTGAAAGAAAAATGTTGTTAGTAAGTGAAATGGACAAGTGTCTGCGAAAGCAATTGTGAGTGAAGATGCTGAGGAAGTGGAGAAGGAAAAGAGGAGAAAAGGCCTCTCAAGAAGAGGAAGAGTACTAGCGAGGAACCTGGTTCCTTCAAAAAGGCAAGGTTAGAGATGTCAGAGTTGGAAAGAAAAGCCAATTTTAGAACTCAAAAGGTGCTGCTGAGTTGAGTTTTTGGACCCGTGATTGTTGAATAGGCAGGGATGAAAGAACTAGTGAAAATTGTGGAGTTTCAAAAGGATGAGGTGGGAAGATTTTATGTTGGACTGTTTGTTGTGGATGAGAACACACCGTGCTTGAAGGTAAATGAGAAGTATTTTGTCCTAGATGAGGACATTCTTGGGGAAATTCTTGAAGTGCCCACAGGTGAGCTAGGAATAGTAAAGGTAACTATTTCCTCTGTTCTCAAAATGTTGATTGTGAAAAGGGAGGACACCTTATTAGGGGAGGGGGTATACAAGAAAGCACTTAAGCTAGAATACCAGCTATTGTTCGAGATGGTGAACAAAGTGTTGTTGCCTTGGGATGAGAGGAGATCTATAGTCTCCATTGCGGACCTGGTTCTCATCGAGGCGCTGGCTTCTTTCACTTCTATCATTCTTCCTGGAATCATGATTGAACATATGATGAAGGTGGCAAGCTTTAAGTATAGGAAGCATGATCTTTCATATAGGTTCCTTCTCATCAAAGCCCTTGAACATTTTGATGTCCAATTGGGAAAAGCTACTATGGGGACCCGGAAGCAAATGTTCATCATGAGCACACTAAAAGAATGTGAATGTATGCTGAAGAAATGAGGTGTGAGAAGAAATTCAACCATCTCACAACTAATTGAAGCAAAGGAGTCAGCAACTGCAAAGATCAAGCGGCTTCATGCTGAAAATATTGTCTTGAGGTCCAAACTCACTCAGCAGAGCACGGAACCTAGTTCCAGTGGTTCCATGGCAAAGGAGAATTCTCAGTTGAAGACTAAGAATGCAAGGTTGAGGAAGCAGGTCAAGGACTTGAAGGAACAAATAATCACTGATCAATACACTGCAAATGAAAGAGTGGACAAACTCCTCAAGACTTTTGCTCCTTAGTCCCTCTTGTCTCCTTCCTAGTGCTTCCTATCTCTATCCTTTTTCTATCTCATCTATATTCCGTCCCTTTTGAAGTTGTTGTTAATGACTTTGGAATATTGGCTTTTTAAACTTGTAATATTTGTGTTGTTGGTACTATTGTTACTTTATTTTTAATTATTATCTTAAATGGGCAATTACTATCTATTTTGTGCAATATAGTTCTCTTGTGTTTTGTTTTTTACCATGTTTGTGTGCATGCGGCATGAGTTAATGTTACTGGACTTCTTTTTGCATGTATTAATTCTGTCCTTCTTTTCAATGACGCCAAAAGGGGAAAGATAATTGAAGGTGGTAACAGTTGAATCACATGTTGAATCTGCGTGTCTAGTTCTCATGGAGAATATCAATTCTGGGTTTGTCATCATCAAAAAGGAGGAAATTGATAAGTTATGTTGTTATGGTTTTGATGATTTGTCAAACTTTGTTGAGGAACTAGATAGGAACCTGATGCGATTATTCCTTTGTGTCTGTTGTAATATGTTTCGATGTCTAGTCAAACGCTCTCGTAGAACTAGATAAGGGAACAAATATGATCAAACTTCTTTTCTGTCATTTATTCCTATGCCTAGGTTAGTTAAAAGATTGTTGAATTTTTGCCTTAGAATAGGAATAAATGAAGGAAAAGAAGATTGATATGATACGGTTTGATCCATTATGAGAGAGCAATTTTGATCCCGACAGATTATTTCTTTTTCCAATATATGAAATAGAGTATTTCACTGAGTTAATTCTTAAAAATTATTGAATCAAACTATTTAACCTTATTTTAACAAAAGAAACACGGGTTACTTCCTACCTACACAGGTATAAAGTAATTTTGTCTATCAAAATTGAACTGATGGAAAAAAATTACCTCAGTATTTTTGCCTACTCTATGAACCTGAGGGTGTTGGCTTCCAATATATCCATGTCCTTCTGCCAAGTGAACCAATAGTTGAAGAGCAATACTCAAAGCTTAGATTTGAACAAAGGAAGAAGGGACATGTTCCCATTTGGGAATTTCGGACTTATCCTGAGTCCCAACTCCCAACATCTTGTGGTCCACTATTTTTATATTCTCATTAAAATGTTCAAAACTTGGACTTGCTAAATGGTATGTTTTGGGAGACCTTAATAAGAGAGTCTAGAGAAAGAGGGCGACGTCATTTAGCCACGTACACGTCTTATTATCTAGCTAATCACGTTGCACAAAGTAATATTCGTAAGTAAGAAAATCGACTTTTTAGCCTTAGTGCGGCGCAATGCCTTTCGGGTACAGAGGCGAAGAAGGTGCTAACCAATCTAGCAGGTCCAGGGCAAATCGGGTACAGGTTCAAATCTTGCCACATTTCTTGTAGATCAACATCCTGTGATTATGGGATAATGGGACTAACAAAACAGAAATTTAAAAATGAGCATGATATATCACTATATGAATTGTTTCATTATTTTATTATTTCGTTGCATTCATTTAAAAGAAGAAACCACCACCAGTGTATAGTGCAGGAATTATTATCAGAATTTGATACATAACATGAAAATTTCCAAATTCATGACTTAAATTAAATGAGGGGATTTAGAATGGATAGTATTCTAATTAGGAATTCAGTAATATGCTCTCTTTGTTCCTTGAGTAAGTAATTCACATCATTTCAGTACTTTAGTGAACAACTTTTTCTCCTTCAATTTGTTGAAAGAGTATGGATACCCCGAACTTTACAAGAAACTATGATACACTTGTATTTCTTTCTCCCTTTGTTTTTCGGTCTTCATTTCTCTCTCTATCTTATACATGGATATAATTACTGCAACAACTTAAATACACTACACCTAAAAATCAGCCTGTCATTTTTACCTCTGCGGCAACATCCCAACCTAAGTATCAACAAACAATTATAAGATCCATCCCGATGCCTTTATTCGACTTTTCTGCCTCAACCAGATCGTCTTCATGCTGCAACAACAATAACATAACCAGTATTATTCCACACCGTGGGTCTGGGGAGGGTAGTGTGTACGCAGACCTTACCCCTATCTTGTGAGGATAGAGAGGTGTTTCCAATAGACCCTCAGCAACCAGATCGTCTTCATGCATTCTACATTAATCATCACGCTTTGGCTTTGAGTTTAACCCTCTTCCCTTTTCTTTCAGTCAAATGGTGACTCCGCCAGATCTTTTATCCACGTTCTATTAATGGCTTCACCTGCTGGCGTTACGTGTGTAGCTCATCTGAAGCACGAGCAAGATATGTTAGTGTTACGCAACCTTTGTCCTAAACACTTTGTAGCTCTCTAAAGACTAGTTCTCTGCTCTTATATCAGAGACAACTCAGGGGTGCAGCATGACAAAAATAGGGGATGGAAAATGGCATCGGTAAGTTCCACATCACGAGAAAGATATCTTTCCTAAAATACTGACCCCTTTTTAACTGTCATTTCCATTCTAAAAGCACCTAACAATTATTGTTATTATTTTCTTTTAAACAATGGAAAGATTATCTTTTTGCAAGAAAAGGTAGTTTTATCAGGTAATGGATACACTATAAGCATTCCTTTGATTTTCCTTTGGCCAATTTGAAAAGGTGCATAAGGAAGAAGGATAATTTCACACAACGGGGCCGGAGAGATGGCAGACCTTAGATCAGGTAAGATCTGTCTTTGATTGTGCGAATCCTGCCCGATTTTGATTTCCGTCCCGTGGGAGACATAGTAAATAGTTAAATGTTTGATTCCCTTGTTAGGGAGTGGCGACATACCTGCAACATCTAGACCTGAATACGACGGGAAGCCAAGCACCAGGCAAACCCAATGGAAGCTATATCTAATTGGGTGATTGGCAATGCAGACAGCACGTATTAGCTTTCACTGTGACCTGACCTAGATCTACAATGACTAGGTCTTTTCCTCAATATCTCTGCTTCTCTCGCTATCTGGATGTCCGATGGCCAGAAAATTTGGTGCATAACTTTGAGAATAAAGCGAGGAAGCAGAGCCATAACTATAATAAGCAAAATTAAGAGCCAGTAGGTCGGTGACTTCACCAGCTGATAAATTGTACTGCAGAAGACAGAAAAATTATGTTACATCATAGACCTCTTAATCTAAATGTTAAGAACGTTTAGATGTAATATATTAGGACTTCAGCGAAAATACTAACCCATAATTAGGGAAGACAGGTGTAGAGTCCAGCACCACCAAACAGACATACGTGATAATAATTGACCCCCACACTGCCATATGAGTATATATTACCCAGCGCTGTATGTCCATTGCCAAGTGAATGTTGACAAGGATCACTACTGCAATTGTCCACAAGCTACCCATACTCCATATGTCAACATCGCTCTGATGATAAGTGAATAGTGGTACATAAAAAAGAACAAGGCTCTGCCAAACTGTATCAATCATGGTGACCCAGAAGAGTTTCATATTGTAACTTTCCTGTCTGTGGCCAGCAGCATAGAGTTTAGGATACTTAAGTAGTGTCTTATGACTTAAGTCCTTGTCCAGAATACCAACAATTACTGTAGGTACGGAAGTATAGATGACAGAATAAAACATACTACTCCAATCTGTTAATGCAGAAGTTGCAGAAAAAGCTGTGCACAATATGTACCTACAGACAACAGATTACAGGACAAATACGTTCAGATAACTGTTTCATATTGTGTTTTTTCCAAACTGCAAATCACATTCTAGGAGATATGAGAAAAAATTCAAAACATAGTAACTATAATGCATGATAACAATAGCGGATTTAGTAAACCAAGCTCAGGTTTCTAACATGCATACAAATATGATATATATATCATTGTCCTCTAAATGCAACTCAACTGCCAGCTAGCATAAACTGGCTCACACCAATTATCTGGGACAGCAACCTCAAAGTCTTATAAAAGCTTGACAATACATGATTGATATGTTTGACCAGACTCCTTACATGTACTGAAAGTCTGAAACAGCTAAACTTTCCTCCCCTTTGTTGGTTGCAAGCTTTAAGAACTGCCTTACACCCCATCTGAACAGATATCGCCACTTCCCTGGAATTCTCGACACTCACAGGCCATTATACACTATTTTACACTTTACACATAACACACATTTATGCCCACCCCGTTTATCACTCAAACCACTTGAACAAAATATTGCCACTTCCCATGGTACCCTTTTAAGCAGAAAGCTACCTGTAAGATCTCACTGGAACTCTGCCACTATTATTCCTTTTTCCATTTCCCACAAGATATACCAAATTTATAACTTTAAATCAAGAGCTTATGGCAGCACTGAAGCCCCAGCCCTTGTTTACAGATGACATTTCCATGGGGCTTTTCCAGGTTGTGATGTACATGACCTCAGATGTGTTCTTTTTTTTTTTTTTCTTT